AATGAAATCCTCTTTCTAATCTTTTGTGTCATTTACACGAGAAGAACTGAGAAATAATATTTTGAATTAGCCATAAACTTCCTAATTTCAATAGTACTTCAATACCCACTCAGACATATTACATTTCTAAAACATTCACTGGCCAAACACAACAGCCTTTTTTATTTTTAACTTTTTTTTTTATTTTATTTTATTTATTTTTTTAGAAGTTTTTTCTCTATTACTTTTGTGCCTAAGATGAAGTGAATATTGTTTTTTTCATTCCAGTATAATCAGTATAAAGATTATTATTATTATTATTATTATTATTATTGTGTAGCATGTGCAGCATTGTTATGAAATCTCATCCAAGCAAAGCCATATGGTAGCAGGGCTGTATACTGTTTGAATGCTATACTATTAATATACAAAATAAATATTTACTATATTAATAATAAAAGCATCATTTTTAATGATGTACAGAGTTTTAATAATATAATAATATTTTAAATATTCCATAATCAAAAAAGACATTGTTTTGTTGACAGTGGTGGAAATTATTGATATTTTCTCCAATAAATTGTCAAAATTTGTAGAAATTGGAATGTTAGTTTTCTTTGTGACTATGGTAATTTTTTGCACATTTTTATTTATTTTGTTTAAAGGCTGAAGGTCTTGATAGATTTAGCTAAAAAATATGGAGAAAATTAAGCAAGTTTTGCATTGTGAGAATGAACACAATATTTAAAATATGCATGTCAGATAAGTGTCATTAATATTTATAACATGTGTTACTGTTCATTGTGCGTGCAAAATCGTTTAGTGGAATTGAATCAAAAGAAGCATGATAATACAATTTATGTACTTTGTGTCTAGTTCCTGTATGGTTTGAAATTTATACCAAGAAGCTACTATAACATTTTCATTCTAAAATTTTAAATATTGAAATGGTGTTGATTACCCCCCATTTGCATTATATATCATTTCTGGATTGCTAGATATTATTTATGAATGATCATTTAAATTGAACTTAATATATTGCAAATAGAGCTGACAAGTTTAATCACCATTTTTCAATGGATTGCATAATATTTAAGGTAAGCATGTGCCTGTTGATGCCAGGATAGCACATTAACTTGCCATTTGATAAAGACAAACAAGTACATTATATGGCTTCTGTGCCATCTGTCAGCACTTGAAATTTGCACATAAACAAAAAAAGTCAGAAGATACAATAGTGACATTTGATATCCGGAACTGTCCCCTTGCACAAAAACAATTTAAAAAAAAAATGTCTACCTGGATTAAGCTTATTCAATCTACAACACAATGTGATTGATACTAAATAATAAAATTTTCTCGTTGGTTG